AGAGACAATAAATGACTGAAACCCAGGAATGAATTTGATTTGGAATTGAAACACCGTCAGAAAAGTATATGCAATGAGTTTATAATAAAAATTTAATTTTTTTCACGCCTACTTYTATTAATSATTTAATTAATAAAAGTAGGCGCGAAAAAAATGTTTCAAAAATCGGTGGCTTTCGGCTTTGYTTTCGGTCTCTTTCTTTGCTATGTTTGGTCTTCAAGCTYATGTTGCCATGTTGTTATATTTATAGCATGCAATGCCAAAATAATGATYTTGTTTCCTTATCTAATCCATTGAGGAAAAACCACACATGGTGTTGACTAATTGGGGATTAATAATTAACGGCAACRCTGCTTGCTGCAATCATACCACAGRCAATCATACATTGTCTCCACCATAGAGTAAGTAAAATAATTATAATAAATTATTYYACTTTSTCYAYKGTCTCCACCACTYGTCTTTATCTATGGTCTCCAYTTGTCTTTATCTATGWTTGTCTCTRRTCGTATAAAAACATTGACAARATAAAAACAAACGGGTTTTTCACATTGAGYGCCTGGAACTRTTAAAAWTTCGCAAAAATTAAGCGCCCCAATATATAAATCAGTTGAAATATCTGTCAGTGTGCAAATAGCAGTCGTGTTGGCGTGCCAAAGTGAAAATTAGTGTTTGAGGTTATGTAAGTTGAGACTTTCCTGTAGATCCAGCAAATTGAACGTTTGTTCCTGCAGCCGGCCGTTTGTGCTCTTGTCATGGCGGAGCCCACCAAGGTGATAACCGAAATCTTCGGCCCCTTTCAAGACTCCATTAATGCCGAGCAAGACATTCGAGAGGTTAGAATCGACTAATTTAGTTGTAGCTGTTTGATTGTTTGGCTGATTTTTTAGTTGATTCGCTCCATTATGAAGGACGTTGAAAAGTCCCTTAGGGAGACGGTGATTGCGATGCAGGTGATCCATAGCGAAGTCAACTGCGAATATAGTAAGTGCGAGCGTTAGGACTGTTGGGCAGCGAAAGACTGTTTGTTTTGCAGTTCATCATTCGCTCCTGAAGGCTCGCTCCTTGTTTGAGGAGGTGCAGAAGGGCTTCGATGAGCTCGACAAAACTGTGCCGCCAGGCCAATACTACAGATACAACGATCATTGGCGCTTCTCTACCCAAAGGCTGTGCTTCCTCGCAGCCCTAATTGTGTTCTTGGAAAAGGGCTTCCTCATCGATCAAGTGACTGCGGCGCAAATGCTGGGATGTTAGTGAAGATACTTAAACTGCCGATGCGGGATAATTGAATTTGATTAATTGCAGTACACGACAAGGAGAACATTCACTTGGACTTGGAGGATTATTTGCATGGGCTTCTCAACTTGGCGTCTGAATTGGTGAGCTTTGTGTTTAGCTACTCTAGGGGTGCTCTATGTATATATATATCTATGCTCAGGCCCGTTTTGCCGTAAATTCCGTCACCTTGGGGGATTACAGCAGGCCTTTGCAAATCTCCAAGTTCGTCGCCGAGCTGAACGCAGGCTTTCGACTTCTCAATCTCAAAAACGACTCGCTCAGGAAGCGCTTCGACGCTCTCAAATACGATGTTAAGAAAATTGAGGAGGTCGTCTATGATATATCTATTAGAGGCCTGACGCCCAAAGCCTCCGCTGAGGACGCTGCCGATTAACAATAGTGAATAGCACCTATAATAGTTTTTTGTTTTCTATAAGACCTTTAAGATCTAAGTTTGTGCGTTCGATCGCTGGCGCAACTGCCTACACACTCTGCACCTGAATTTCGCCTGCGGCGGGCCGTCAATATGGACCTGATCCTCATCGCGATTATAGTGCTCCAAGCAGGGTAGATGAGTTTGCAATTCCTCGTCATTTTTCAGCTCTTCAGGCAGATAATTCCATATTTGGTACAGTCTGACGCCCGATAGTCTCAGCAGGTCGCCCTTAAAATTAAACGAATACATTGAATGAATTTCTGTTTTGAATATCATCTGATAATGCAATTGACTCAGTCGCTATCTTATTGAGTGCGAACAAGGTGGGGCGAATGCGATAATGTAAAATCCTTTGCTGTTTGTAACTTATTAAATTACTTCTTACCTTTGTTAAGCTTTCATCGCTCCCCCACTGCGGCCTCCCAATTGCTAGGGCCACTATTTCTGCAGGTTCCATTTTGCTGTTTTACTTTTTTTACTGATTTTTTTGCGTTAAAAACGCTGCTTGCCGTCTGCCTGATTAGGCGCCAGTTGCTCAACTGAACTTAGTTTAATCGTTTAGGTAATGTAATGAGACTTTTGTTTGTGAGAGTATTTTTCCACTGATTAGCTGGTTATCTTGCAAATTTATTACGAGAATGCAGCTCGGAAAGTGTGCACGATACGTTTTATTTGTGTGGGAACAATCACAAATAGGTAGGAATATTGTTTAAAATTTAAGCATCTGCTCCAGGTTGTTTTTCCTGTTGCCGTGCGGATCCACCGGGAAGATGATCATGTCGTCGACGAAAGTGGGAACGAGGCGCTGTTCTTCAACGATCGGTCGAAGATTTGGGTTCCACTTGACGATGTCTGCGAAGCTGTCCGAGGAAACGACGATGCCTCCATTGGCCGCTGCTGATTGGATTATATACCTGATGGATGGATGGATATAAGCAAAGGTTGGTTCAGTAGGCGCGCCAAACCCTTACCAGTCGTCGTAGGGACTTCGCCGCTGGTTTTGGATATACAAAGTGGGCGTGATGATGACCAGCTTCTTGGTCACCAGTTGGTGCAATAGCTTCTGATCGGTAGTTTTGCCCTTTCTGAGCCGAAAGTGGGGCACGAAAGCCTTCACTTCGTGACCCCGCTTTCGGAAATAGTCGATGCAGATCTGCAAGCCTTGGACGGAGAAGCGCTCATTCTGGCCGTGACTGGTGGAAGCGCGCGTTAAATTACTGCTAAGTGCCGGTACACACGAGCGTTTTTTTAACGGCGCGGTGACGCGACGTTAAAAACCGCGCGTCCCACAAATACACTGGCTACAATGGAGCAGTTCACACGAACATCGACGGGCGCGTCCAGTTAACC